AAGACTGCATCCATTGACACTTTGAACCCTTTGTGTGTGTGTGTGTTGTGTATGTGCGCCTAAGCGACTATCTCTTTACATTTCTGACAACATTATTTTATTTCTTATGATGAACAAAATCGTGTATTTCTGTTTGATATGCCTACTTCCATTAAACAAATCTCTCTCTATATATATTAATACATCTTTAACAATTACATCAGTATATCTAAAAATAAATCAGATAGATAGATACGATATAGATTAGATAGATTGATAGATACTGATAGATCAGATAGATAGATAGATAGAGATGGTGATTTACCATTTTGCTGACCTCCACATTTCCCCCGGGAATAGTTCATTAGTAGAACTGCCAGAATGACTTTGCTTTTATTTTGCAAATTCACTTTCACGCTTCTTTAGTACGTTCCCACTCAGCTTCTGAATGGTCTGACTGATAGCCACAATAGAGACACTAATAGTTCTCTTTGTCACTTCAATTGTGACCCTAAACACATTTGTTCATTAGTTTTGCTTTAGAATGGTATGTAGAGGAGCTCCTGCAGTAAAGTTTAACACAGCACCTCCACTGTGAGTCCCGCTCAGGCCACACAGGCTGATGCTGCGCTCTTAAATAAAGCCTGGTGTATGAAGGCCTCCGGACAGCAAGCGTGCCGGACAAAATGGCCCCATTACGCCCTTTATCATTAATGTTAATCTAGGTTTTAGCAAGACGCAGCCTTCCAAAATCCGTAAAAAGGTCAAATTGATACATTTGATTTTGTAGTTTTTTTTATTATTATTATGGAAGGGAACAAATATCAAACAAGGCTCCATATAAGCTGTTTCCTTAATAGTCATTAGGGGTGGAAAAACACATAAATTAAGCATACCCGCATCAGTTAAATCCACGTAAAATGACCTCACCTCAAATTTAATTTATATTTGTGGGAATGGAGTTTACGCATACTTTTCTCTTCTGTTGGAAAATTCCTTCTGCGTCTGATATCTTTGATAGATTAAGATAGAAGATAGATTTTTTTATTTACTTTTTTATTTCTATTTTAAAACTAAAATTAACTATTTTTGTAAGGATGTTCTCTGCCTGATGATGACGAACTGGAAATAATAATGTATACCGCCCCCTTCCCTCACCTATGATTTACCACTGCCTCGCTGCCGGATAATATGTCTAATCAAATAATGATGACGAGGGGACCTCCTCTGCTAAAGAAAGACCAGGAGAGAATAAATTATGGCCGAGAGTTGGTTGAGAAATGTGCCAACTGCAAACAGGCACAGGAAAGCTCCTGTGGAGGTGTGATCTCACCCACGTAAAAACATAAACATGTGCGCTTCAAAGGCTCTGGTTGTGCGTAATCACTCCACGAAATACACCGCCATAAATAGGAAGAAAGAAGGCATGGAGAGTGAGTGGGGAACCCTGAGCTGCAACCATAAAAGCCCATTTGTCTTAGTTTAGACAGAAATGTATTCCAGGTGAGAGTTGTTCAACTGGAAGTCGTCCTAAGAGGTTTGGGTTTGGGCTAAAATGCAAGCATAATGGCGTCGACGTTTTTATCATAATAAATACACGCAAAGCTTTTTCAGTGAAGTCCTGTTCAGTTGTTGCGCCTTAACTGGGATCGAGAGTGAGTTTGTTCATCTGAAACTCTGATGCCCACATGCTTGTAAGAAAATAGTGATTTCTTCTCTCAGCATCATGTGAACTAGAATGCCACACAGCAGGGGTGCATTGAGACAATAATCTCAGATAAACGGCATCGAGGTGCATACTGCTCGTTAGTCTGCTCTGGGTTTTTTGGTGCCTATGTTCAAGGTTTTTTTTTTTCTTTTTTCTGTGCTTCCTCCACCCATCACAAGTAATTTACACCGAGGAGTAACCATGCCGCCTGTGCGCTACACAGGACTGTCATCCGCGCAATTTGTCTCCTCGGCACACCGATAGCAGCTCTAAGTTTAACAGCCAAGGCCTTTCATACACCCACTGAGGCCACCGAATAGCCTGACCCCAACAGAACCGCAAAGATCAACTTCTTCTTTTGATAAATGCGTAATGAATTTCACTTTCTGAAGACGGAAAATAAGTGAAGTTGAATTAGAGGTCGTGCTCCTGAGATAATTAATACATGAAACACATTTGAATATCAAAATTCGAAAAAAGCCGAATCCATCAAATTAAAAATGAGCCACAAAACAACCATTATGGCAGGAATATCAAATCCTGCGCAAAACAACTGGTCATTCTTTTATGTCTTTAGCATTGATCTTTGCAGCCTCTGAGAACTCAGAAACGGGCGAAACCCCGGGTGTAATAGGCCCATAATTAAATAATTAAAAGCAAACTAAATTTACAAAATTAAAGACGCTGGGTTTGAACTATTATATGACAATTTAAGGAGCGGATGTGAACATGTCAGGACAAAAAAGAAAAGAGAAAAAGAGATAGAGAGGAGGAAAAAGAAAACATGAATTCATTAAGAGCCTTTCCCCGGGCTGTGTGACCCCAGGACCCGGAGAAACGCACTGTGGGGCTGGGGAAACTTCCCCAGCAGGCCGCTTGTTTCACCCTAAATCGCCATAAAGCCAGATATCCCCGAAAGAAGTCCTAGCAGGGGCCATAAATCACCCGGCTGTATTAAAAGCTTTGGTAAACCCCCAGCCAGGTCAGTCGGGTACAATTTATGGCATCACTTATGTAGGGAATAGATTGTTCTAACGAAATACATCAACTTCAAGCCTGCGCGCAGCCAACTAGCTACTATTGTCAAGAAAACACCGAGCTTTATTTCCCTGTCTCTACCTCTCGCTCTCTCTCTCTCTCTCTCTCTCTCTCTCTCCATTACCTCCCCCTCTCTCTCTTTCTCTCTCTGTCTGTATCTACCTCTGGAGCCCCCCAGCTTCTGCACAACAAGAATCCACTCATCCATTCAAGCCATGTGTTTTAAGTCAGTGGTTCCCAACTGGGGTCCGGTGACCTGCATGGGTCACCGAGAGGAGTCCAGGGGAGGTCCCCGGGAAAAAAAAAAGATCTACAATAATAAAGAACTACAATTTCAAAATATTTTGGTCGGGAAAAGTTAGTATTAAACTAGTGTAATGCTCAAATCCATACCTGTCCATCTGCGGAGTGGGGCTGTAATTAATTCAGTAGCCTACTTTATTAAACAACATCAAAACTGAATCTAAAGTTCGATATGTGGCTCTAATGTAAGATCTCTGAGAGGATAAGTCACTCCTGTATTGGGACTGTTATCACAGCCTATTATGTCGCCCTGCTATATACCAATAAACCCACAAACCTTATCAGAGATGGTTTACATTATTTTCACTAATGGCACGCGTGTATTCCTTACGCCTGGCCCTGGCAGGAGGTGGAAATAAATGTATTCTGAATGGTGATTTGGAAGAGTTCAAGAAGCAGCGTGGTCTTTTCACAGCACCGACTGTAACAGGCCTGCGGATGTTTTCTCAAATTAGGGTCAAGAAAGTGGAAAGTGAGTAGAGAAATAGGCTTGAATCTAACGCAGGCAGAGGGGTGTCGTACCAGATTGCAAAACACGATCGTCAATTTAAAGGATTTAGTTTTGTGGATGTTTAATAAAGTAGCACAACCTCCCAGTGGAGTAAAATAAATGTTTTCTATATAGCCTACTTATGTTGTCTTAGCTGTATCTACTGTATATGGGCAGCATATTCACTATGTATAGCTGTTTCTCTTATGTATCAAACCATTGATGTCAAGTGGAAAATTATTAATTAAAAGTAAAAGTTGACTTGAAAAAAAAATAACTGGTCATTTTAACTTCATGACAGGCTTATTTCACTTGTTTTAAGGAAGAAATCTCGTAAGACATCGTGCGGACAGGTCGAGAAATAAGCTGAGAGAGAGAGAAAGAGAGAAAGAGAGAAAGAGAAAGGCGTTTACTGAGCCAGTGGCCCACTGTCCTACTTTTCTACTGGCATCCCAAGCCAACCGGGAGCCTCGCCTGAGCTCCAGCATTCATAGTTCAAGCTTTAGGCCCCTTTCAACCTTATTTCCACTATTTCTTATTCCTATCCCTCCCAAACAGAGCACAGCGAAAATGTAGGAAAGGAATAACAAAAGAGTGGGACTTTGCCTCGCCGAGGAAAAAACAGCAAGCTAGATTTTCCCATTTATTTTACGCACGGCAAACATCAACACTCAGCTTTAACAGATGGTTTTGTTATTGGAAGCAACTGCTATAAAATATAACTGTAAATAATCAATCATTGCCACTTCAAGAAGAAATCATAACAAAGCTGAAAAATGAATTGAATACAGAGAGGAATGAATGGCAGTTCGTTTTGACTTTATTTACTGACTGACATTTTGCTTTTCACAGCAATTTGGGATAAATTAGAATAAATCCTTTTTGTAGCTTTCCCAAAAAGAACTGAGTTTCAAAATAGATTATTATCGGATTTTTATAATGTATACTTTGACACCCAACTGATAGTCCACATGTCAAAAGGCCACACACTCACACAGCCCTAAAATACACGCGGCGGACCTGGGGAAAGTGTCCGGGGGGGCTCGGAGCCGCGACTCCCCGATGAGATACAGTGAGGAGCTAATTTCCCTTAAGCGACGAAGAAAGCACTAGCAGCCGGCAATAGCTGAACTAACAAAAAAAAAAAAAAGAAGAATACACAAGTACCATTCAAATGGATGAGCTCTCGCTGACGCGCATAACAATTGTCCACTGAAACCTGCACCGGTCGCAGCGCCTGGCTGCGTAAAGCCAATAATGCCATTAGTGATTCCTAAAAAGAAGCCAGATGGCCACTTAGAAAATGAAACGTTAGTTTTAATTTGGAGATGACAGAAAATGAAGTATTTTGGTATACAGGAGCCTCACCCGCTGCGGCGCACAGCCGCTGAGAGGCAATGGGTGCTGGCTCACTTGCTACGAAGGAAAAATAAGCTTTAGGCGTTCTGCAACGCAACAACAACTGAAGATGAAATGTCTTACCTTCAACGGTGGACACCACGGGCAGCAAGAGGCTGCATAAAAGCAGAAAGTAATCCATTGTCATAAAGCAGTCGTGTCGGACATGTAAATAGACCCACGAGAGAGGAGGGAATACAATCCTGGGTGATCCGAAGCTCCACGCACCCAGTCCCTGTCCCAGTCCCAGCTGTGTCAAGCCTCCACGAACAGAGTTACCCCCATTCACCAAAACACGTAAAGGTGAGTGTTGGGGAGGAAATAACACCCTTGGTGTAAAATGTATGAATATAGCAGCCCCTCTCCCTTCTCAGTGATCTCCAACGTGCCTAATTAAACCAGAGAAAAGGCAACGGGCGCAAGTCTTCCAGTCCCTTCCCCTCGAATAGAGAGAATCAGCTTAAAACAGGTAGTCCAGTCCGTGGTCACCATCCAGAGAATATTTCCAGCAATATTTCGTAGATAGTCAGTGGGGGTGGAAACAAAAAAGAAGTAGCAGCCTTCTCGAGGTGATCCAAAGACTTTCTCTGTGGTCAGAGGAGCAGAGGCAGAGACAGCCGCACTTGTGTCAGAATCATGGTGTATAGTCCCAGCAAGGCATGTGTACGCTCACATGCGTCCGCGATCAAGTGGTATTCCCGTAAAGAAACAGCCGCGGAGGTTTATGGATATTTATTCCCTGAGCGAATTCATCAAGCTTCGGCCGCTGTGTGAATCGTCTGCTTCGCTCGGCTTGTGCACTGGAATGAAGCACACACGGCTGTGGAGGAATAACGGGAGAGAGAGAGAGAGAGAG